GGAGCCAGTAACCCTTCTGTCAGATGGTGGGTCCGAGCGTGAGACTGGGCCAGGCATTCTGGACGCAGAATCCTACGTTGGAGAAGACCTTTAAGATCCGGAGATGGCAGCAGCTGGACTGAGCTACAGACCAAAGCCTGTCATCCACTTACTGCCTGTAGCTGCCCAGCCGTTTCACCCACTGCCCATGCCGAGGAGATGGCAGCGCCTGGCACGGGTGGTGGGCCTCCCACAGCTTGGCCTCCATAGCCTGCTCGGGGCGGCCAGGCCCAGACACAGCCCCAGGCCCAGCTCGGCTTCCCTCTTGCTGCCACCTCAGCCCCTGTGGTAAACACCAGCTGCCGAAGAAGGCCACAAACTGCCAGAATATTCCCTAGGTTTGATGTGAAACTTAGAGACCGGTGACTGGAAGTCACAGGTTGGGCTTAGGTGGTGTTGGCTTTGCATGTGGAGTCTGCTGAATCGCCTCATCTTTCTCCCTGCACCAGCCTTGTATTTCTCTCCTGTGCCTGACACCAAACAGGTTAAAATAAGAGCATGAGGAAAGGAGTCCAGAACAGTGGTGCCTCTCTGTGGAAGTCAGGCACAGGGACTGTTTTATCAGAGGAGGTTGCCAAGGACCGAGTACCTAAATCTTACTGAAATTCAGTAGTAGTAGGTAGGTGCATCACCCCCTCTGGCTTCTTTGAAAATCGAAAATATAGTAGATGAGATAGGTTTCCTGTCATAAGAAACTGTCCAGGAGAATTTTAGGATTTTACAGAGAAAAACCCCTCAATGTATTTCCACTAAAGGTATCCAAGTTTTCCACCAAAGGTATCCAAGTTACCACCTTAGCCTAACAGTATGGGCTGGAATTCGATCCCTAACCATTCCACCAGCCTTGGTGAGGCAGCAGCTGAGCTGGACAGTGTTTTGGCAACATTCCTTGCATTAGTCTTAGTGGGGGGATTTTTGAAAAGAAATTCAAATTAATTGTCTGGAAAAAACAGGGACATGAAACATGCCTTATTTTCCTTAAACTCAGTTCCCCTCTCTCCCCAGTTCTTGTCACAACAGTAAAGTACAAGTTATACAAGATTTTCTGAGTAAGATCCATGCTGTTGACATAAGCCATGCAGGAAAAAAAGACTGAGCAGGCTAAAATACATTGTTCCCTATACACTGTATACGAGGGCAGAACTGAGCTAAAAACAATAGTGTTTCCTAACAAGATAAAACCGCAGCTACTCAACATTTCCAAAACAGAAAAGGCTTGTGACAAAAGAATTTTTTCCCCATGTAACTCGTGTTTCTTATTCATATTTCCAAACTGTTACTTATTTCCTAGCATGCTGTGGTTAATGCCATATGTATTTTCAATAACACAGTTCAGAGAAATAAATTTTTTTCCTACCAACATTGGTTATTTCTGACAACCAGTACATCACAAAATTGCAAATGCAGGTTTTGATCAGGCTGGTTTTCATTTCCAAATAGGCATCTTCCTCTAATGAACGCATATTTAGAGAATGCCTCAAAGGAAATGATTCAGACTCACATGATCTAAAAGACTTTGCAGAATGACTATATGCTGCATACTATGTGTTTTTCTAGTTTGGAAGTCTAATTATTTAGGCATGTGCTGTAGTAAGATTCACAAAGGTTGTAGCATTAGAAACAAAACAAAATTTACCTGGGAGAGAATGGCCTTTTTAAGCTTTGTAGATCTATTGCTCCTAACACTGAAATGAAGGAAGCAAACAGTGATTCTTTCAGCAGTCAAAGCTGCTCTTAACTTCTGCAGCATCAGAACCCCATAATGTAAGACAGAAATAAAAGCATAAGGAAGCTAGGAAGAGAGTGAATCAGTTGGAGAAATGGACAAATTATGGAATAGAAAACATACTGAGTTTGTACAGCAACTATCCAACCAGTTATGCAACTACTCTAAGGTTAACAAAGTATTTACATTTCCCAGATGAGGAAATGCACATTTACAGATGTAGGTTGTGTGTGGCATCAGACCAAAAGCAGACAGAATGAAAAGGCAACTAGAGCTGAACCAGTTCTTAAGTAGCCACCACCCACATAGCTAGACAAATCCCCAGTGACTAATAGTTTTTCTTGTTTCCACATCTGTGAACAAATACAAGTTGGAAGTAGCAAATACAATCAGGATTTGTCACACTCCCTGGAGGACTTTGGGTCCATAAAGGCAATAAATGCAGAAGTAACTAGCAGATAAAATATGGCGATTTAGCTTGTTTTTTACAACTTCACACTTCCTGGATGAACAATATAGGCACGTTTTACAACCTCATCCAGAGACAATAACTTGAAGTGGAAATTCCTTATCCTACACGCCAGCAGGATTCATTTGAGGTTCATTACGCATTACGCTGAAGTGAGATTGTGCAGACGCTCTTTAAGCTTTGGTAACAACATGGATGACGCTGGTAACTGGGAGTATAACAGCAGCAGGTGAGCTACAAGAAGCCCAGGCATGTTTGTGATATGCCCCTGTTGAACTCAGATATAAAAAACAAAGAAATCCAGCTGCGTATGCTTTTGTGGCTTCAATAAAGGGAACTATCAGAAGCTCAGATTTCAGAAAATCTACTCAGCATGGGAAATTATTTGATTGAGGACCCAGCAGCAATCATGTAATGGTATCATCTTTTTACCAGGGTTTTAAAGTTCTTTAAAGTACTGAATAAATTATTTCAGACACTTGAAAATGCTATGTACAGTGTATTATGTTACATTTACATAACTGTAACAACTCATTAACAAAGAAATCCAGAGATTATCTGAATGATGATTATTTACCAAGAGAGACTATTCTAATAATTGATTTTCAGTATATTGCATAGCATCTCATTGGATACTGAGCACATGAACAAAATACATCTTAAATTACAATCATGTGTGATCTCTCAATATCCAACATTTTTAAATAGTCATATTGTCACATCAGTGTGTAAAAAGGGTAAAATTTGTCCTGCACTTAATGCTAAATCAGCAGATTCTAGAAGTAGCCAAAAACTTCAGTATTAAGCAAAATACTACAATACAAGAAAGAGAATAACTTAGACTTTCTAAAAACAATAGATGAGGGGAATGGTTTAATTTTTTTAACTACTGAAGTGTCTAACGCTGATTAAAGAAACTGGTGAAGATTTCACATTTGTTCTGCCCTGCACAATACATAAAGGTAAGAATAGCATTGTATAAAGATATACACAAATACAAAACACATACACCAGAAACTGTTTACACTCCCTGTCTCCCACTGGACTCTCCTGTTTTAGTTGTATCATTCAAAAATACCTGTGGAATTGCTGTGTCTTGAAATGTCGTTGCATATATAATCTGTTAAATCTCAATTAATTCTACAGCCCTAAGGTAGTAGTTTATTGTTGTAAATCACTGTTGTGGTTTACAAAATAAAAGTATAAATAAAAACAAAAATAAAATAAATGATAGAATAAATAATAAATAAAATTTAAAAATAAATTTTAAAAATCACTGCTGTGATTTACAAAATAGAAGTATAAATAAAAAATAAAAGTATAAATCACTGTTGTGATCACCACAATTTTTGTAATTTATGCACATTCTAATCTACAAAACTGCTATAGTGAAAATTCATCAGAGTGGATATTTATTTCATAATGCTATAATTTGTTTGTAAGTAAGTAGCTAATCCCAAAATGGCCTGTATCAGTTTGGTGATATCTAAAATGTGCTGCTTTTCTCAGTCACAAATTAGATTTTTTTCCCCTCCCCCTGAAGCAAGGTCAGAAATATGAAAAAAAACCCCAGATTTTGTCCTGATGCAAAACTGAAATAAAATCTGGTTTTAAAAAACATACACAGTATTTATATTGCTTTTAAAAATGTAGAGCAATTACAGATCTAGCCATAATAACATTGTTTTTTGCTGGGATATGCTTTTCAGCTACGTTGTAACTCAGAAATTTTACCTGGGGCTACTCAAGTGTTTACATGTCCACACCAGTAAACATACCACTTTATCCTAAATTTGCAAAGCTGACTGTTACAACAACAAACAGACCTTCTTTCCACTCTCCAGTATCTCACTTGCAAATAGGGCGGGGAAAAAAATCTGTCAATGAGATAAATATGGAGACACATTATGCTATTTTTAAAGTCAGAATACTAGTATCCTTTACATTTCTAGGATGAAACTGTAGTATTATTATTGTCAAAATACTTACACTGAAAGAGAATAAACAGTATCACAGTTGGCAAAGGTTAATCACTATAGCAATTTATTGAAAAAAAATACATACCTCATTATATAGCCAGTTTAACAATCTTAGGAAGCTAACACACAGAAAGACACTTGGCATTGTGCTTCTTGGACATTAAAATAATGAATTTCAAGTCAGCTTAAGGGCTTGATATTTTGAAATTTCTTTTAATGGAAACATAATTTTAGTCTGTTAAAATGTGTGAGCTTAGAGCTAAGGAAAAGAGGTGAAGAACTCAGTCATGCAAACACTGACGAAGCAACAACGATTCAGAAATAACACGCAGCTAATCTGTTCTCTTTATATGGCTCCTCTTTCAAGACACTTTATCTTCAAAAGGGTTGTAGCAGGTAGAAAAACTGGAAATAATCACCACAGCAAGTCTCAAGGTGTCTGTCCTATGTTCTGCGCTTGATGACAGGTCACCTAACACACTTTTGATGATGTTGTCACCCCATGATGGACTGTAGTGAGCAGAGTTGGGAATTTGTTCCATGGATACACGACTGCAATGTATTTTGTCATCTGCTTTGTCCCAGAGTACCACTGCAAATCTGAGTGCAGACAGCAGCCATGTGACTTTGTCCTTCTTGTTCCTTGGGTTTTTTTCCTCTTCAAAACAGTTTCCTCATGCCCAGGAGCTTTCACGGTGTTTATGATGCAGCACTCTATGGGACACACGAACTTCTAATCAGCAGTCAGAGAAAAGTTGAAAAGAGCTTTTATTTTCATTCCGAGTCCTTAATCCTCATCACTTGAAGGACAATGAGCTGCATAATCAAAACCAGGGAATCTGATGGGCAGTTCTCCCCATTTCTTAAAAATTTGCTTTGTTGTTTTCTTGTCTTCAAACACAACCACAAAATTTCTAATCTTTAGACAAGGCAGGTCAAGACCTCGGTGAACCATCATATTTCCCCAAGCCTGCAAGTGTAAGGAAATTACATTTCAGATAAAGTAGACAAGATCATTAGACAGAAATAAATACAGACAACAACAACAACAACACAAAGGTATGAAAATTATTTGTTTCTCACTTGTCCACAATCTTTACATATAATTTCCCCATTTGTCTGGTAATCGGCATGCTTATCTTGCAGTGTCTTATTTTCTCTTGTATGGTAAAGACTTCTGAAAAACAGGCAGAAAGCATGCATCAGAATACGCTGGCCATTCAATGCAACATACAGCCTTAAACACACAGTCACTACACTTGCTGAAGTCAGATACGAAACCTAAAAGGTCGTAGTCTCTGACTGTTGTGCACATTCAGGAGCTGGAGAAAATGCAAGGTCATATTTCATGCTCCTAAGTAATGGAAAATCCAACTGTACTCCATGCCTCCTTTTGTAGCATTTCAGGAGCTGCATCCTTCCTCACACATCCCAAAGCAGGAGCAGCAGGCTCTCCGTTATAATAGGGGATAGATCTAGCTTGGTTTTTCTCAGGTGCCCTGGAGCTCTCAAAGAAATGATACCTGAAAGTTAGAGGTTTCTTTTTATTCCCTCTAGTCCAACGTTACCCATTAACAGAATCAGTTGGTTCTGACTATCCAGAGCTGCAGAGTACGTGCACATTCTTACATCCTTTAGTTTAGGGAGTACTTGATCTTGAGGGTTACTGTTAGCCTGTGCTGAGGGGTTATAAGAATTATTACCCTGTAGTTTGAACTGACTGATAACATTATGCTGACAAGACAATTTCACAGTAAAAGCAGTTTAATGTTTAGGGCTGCAGCTCGATTTTAATTTTTTCAACATATGGATACTAATTTCTCATTAACTCTTCAAAAAGTCTTTACAAATTATACCAGAGATATGTCTCAAAGAAACGAGAACTTGGGAGGGCAGTAATTTGGTTGGATGGCGTCTGCCATATAACTAGCAAAGCATGCCTGATCTGTAATGTACAATACCCATTACAATTTTACTGTAGTAAACCAATGCAATTGAAGTTGAATTAAAACATTTTCTTGGTTTCTTGATTTCCATTATGAGTGGGAAGAGAAAGTCACCTCCTGCCATGATGGCACTGAAAAGTTAAACACGGTTTAACATAAAAGTTTACCAAACTAGATGGCATCTCTTGCAATGGAGATAAGAAAGAGCAAGAAGACTGGGAGAACTAAAAGGGGTGTGTGACCAGTATGAACATCCTCTAAATACACAATTGTCAATGCACAGCTCCTGGCCAACACATTGTTTGAGTCAAACTCTTATCCTGGGTCTATTACTGGTGTAACTAACTAGTATTCATCTTTGGTTGCAGGTACACTGTGGAATACATACCATATTAGATAGTAAGTGACCTAGTTAATATTACCATAGGACCCGTATCTTTTTCCAAAGTTTCAAATGCTGGTCACCTTGAAATCAGGGGCAAGAACAAACATTTCCTTCAAACTCATTAAGTCCAGAGAGCCTAGGACTTGACAATATTGGAATAATCTTTTTTTACCTCACAGGGCCTAGAGGGTTACAGGCCCTGTACAGCCCTGCTGAGAAGAAAATCTGTTTCTGTCTGAAAGAGATAAAGTAGTTCATAAACACTTACTGGAAATCCTTTTTCACACTGACATGATGCATGTTTTCAATAACTTGTATGTCTTCTCCAGAACATACCAGCTTGTGGCAATTTTTGCATAGGAATGTTATTAGTGAAGGATTTTTCTTGTGTGTCTTGCGCTGATCTCTCTTTGCCTTCATTTGTTTTTCTACTATACTTTGCAACTGGAAATCCTGAATCTAAAAATAGAACAGTAAGAGCACTGTAACATTCTGGTGGAATTACAGTAATAGTTTTCTTTTTCAGTTATTTTACTGAGTTCACTGACAACATGACTTCATTTTCCCGACTTGTGTGTTTCCCCCCTTACCAACAGAAAAACAGAATTTTCTAAAGGCCCAGAAAACACAGATTATAAAACAAATATTGGCAGAAGGATTCAAGGCCATATGTAGTATTATTATTTTAAGTTTTCCTTAAGTAGATTTCAAATGGAAAGTATTTCTTACAATATAAATCAGTCATCTTTAAAGGGAAAGTGCAGAGTTGCAGTAACTACCTTATTTAAATACTCTTCCTGCGGCATCCTCTGGACACGCTGAATGGCCTTATACATCATTTGCTCACGGAAAATATTAACATCTTCACGTTCAACAGCTCCTGAGCCGCTGGAAGCCACAAGTGCATAGGTGCTCTCATCAGCTCGAGCTCGACCGCGAGCCTACAATTTGAAAGGAACACAACATAAACAGCACAATGTTCCCCACAACACCGCACAACATTTTTTCCTAGTTTTGTAATGGAAGACATGTACTGTTCCTTATGCAGTGTCCCCAGAGAGCATTTCTTTCCACTTAGACAGATAAAGAGTCAGTGAATAACACATACTGTTTCCACACTATCATCAAAGGTACCTGTGAAAATAGTACTCAGGAGATTTGTGATTAGCACAACATTTTGCAAAGCAGAAACTGTACTTTTTCACAAAAAAATAAATATGCATTTAAATATTAAATATATACATATTTGTGTTCACAAATTAAGTGAGGACATGGACAAACTGGTATTCTGATACATAATTATCTCTTTTTTAGCTTTTGGTGGTACAAATGTCTTTTATATCATCTGGTCTATTGACCATATTCTCACACCTTTTCTACTAAAAGAGCTTACTGCTTGTGTAGAGCTTTAAATGGGTGTTACCCCATTACTCATGGAGGCAAATTTTATATTGCCAGCAAACTGAGGATGGCAACTGGAGATAAACCTTGTTGCAAGAGCATTTTCTCTTTTAGCATGCAAGTATTTAAAAAGTATCTTCAAGTGCCAGGTACATGATTCACTATTTGCATATTCCAAACAGAAAAATACTTTGAAAAATAAGTTATGTATGCAGTAAACTCTTACCTGCACCATAGCAATTTCATTGGTGACGAGGCCGTAGCGAATAACGATGTTACACTCTTTGATGTCTAGGCCTTCCTCAGCTACAGTAGTAGCAATAAGTAAATTTACATTTCCACCTCGGAATTTATCAATAACTTCCCTTTGCTCATTCTATAAATTAGAAAAAAACATCAGTATATTAACTTTCAGTATTAATTTCTGTCATCAGTTTCTTCTAATTAAGAGGTTTAAGGAATTATAGTCCAATCATTTCAAAGTGGAGTGCCAAACATCAAGTGGCTTCAACAACTGCAATTAAGCATCTTTCAAGATCATAAACAAGGAGTTCCTATTAGAATATAACAGGTGTTCAGCACCTTTATTCAGGAAGGACGGAGCAGAAGTCACCTTTTTAAGGTAACTGAGCTTGGAACTTTGTAGTCCATTTCATAGGCGCTATGAGTTTTGATAATGTAGTTGTTCTATCATTCTAAAATTCTTTAAGTAGCTATTCAGAGGTTCTGGATTTCTACCACTTCAGTGATTTCAGTTTTAACTATAGACTTCAGCACTTCCAAGTCAAGTTCCAAAGCACTTAAAATTCCCTGTAATAAATGGGAACCATAATTTCGGTGAGCTGGGGAGCACCAAGAAGCACAGCAATGATACACTTAAAAAATAAAGCATCCAAAACTCGGACTTCTGAATTAGCTGGATATTTCAAACAAGCTTGAGCAGAGGGACAGAAACTTCCTATTTGCTATATTCAGTTTCAAAATATAGAGGCTATTGTTTGTGCAATGTGGTGCACAGATTAAGTACCAAATTTTCACTGAAAATAAGCAAATTTTTGAGAGAACAATTCCCAACTTTGTTCTGAAACTGAAAGCAGATAAAGGAAATGGACTCTGCCCAGCAGTAAACCACACCATTTTTGCTTAAATGCTGAAGTGGCAACTTTATGGGGAGTAAAAAGCAGAATAGAAGAGAGGTTTTAGGATACTGAATTTGTTTTGAAAATGTTTAATTTGTTTTGAAAATGTTTAATTTGGAGGTATACATCATCAGAGAGATGTTGTGTATGAAGTAAACACAATGGCATGAGATGGACTGTTGAGTGATCAACTGCGAAATTTTCATTGCGAATTTTGGCAAAGTCGCTTTCAATGATTATGTGTCAGTGAAGCATGCATATAAATTGGTATAAGTTGATTAAGCAATGATATCAGAAAAAGACAGGCATAATCAACATTGTAATTTTATTTTTCAATTTAGCAACTAAAATATAATTTGAATTACTGTTGTCCCAAAAAGTATAAACTCATTTAACTATTGCATTTTTGCTATTGCCATTTTGCTCACTTTTTCTTCCTATGCCTCACTACAACTTGCATCCCTTTTGACTACATACTCCTCTAGGAAACTGCTGCCTGTTACTCCTATTGCCATAGAATCCAAAACCAAAAAAGCTTGTTTCTTGTGGAAATAAAATTATTCTGACATTGTTATTCACCTATCCTGCAGCTGGTGAAGGTAAGTTGGTATGAAATCAGAACTCTGGGTTCCAAACTTCAGTCTGCTGTTCTAGTACTGAAACAAGTTGTTTTCTCAAATCACGTACAAGACTTTAATGCTGCAGTGCATAGTTCTGTACCTGAGTCATGGGTTTCATTTCACTGTTATGTCCAGCACCGATAAGATAATGGGCCTTAATTCCCACTTCTTCAAATTTTGGGTTATCCTTAATCCACTGGAATAGAGCAAAGGCACTTAGCCGAGTCTTTGTGAAAATAATTCCTCTGGGTTCCTCAGTCTTCGTGAACTCCTCCATTAAAGTATTTCGCAACTGTATTAGCTTCTCATTTTCATATTCTGGCTTTCTAGCCAACTCTTTCAGCTGTTTCTTTTTTGCTTTAAAAATAGAAGATATACATTAAGAAAAAGTAACCATGTAAAGTAACAGCTCTAGAAAAAAACAAAGAGTAGCTTTCTATTTAATTATCCCAGCATGACTAATTCACATTCAGTTTGAAGAGTGAGTTTCAAGTGAGTTTACATTCATTAAAAACACACTAATCAATCAAAATAAATGATCACTAACTTTTTAACATACACTTTGCCTATATTTCAAGGTGAGAATAAGCAAAAGAAAAGAACTCTGTCTACACACCAGAAATGGTACAGAGTTAAATGCTCTGTATTAAAGAGATAAATCATAGCTTATGATATTTGCAAAACAGTTTTAAAATAATGGAAAAAGTCTTACAAGGAGAAACAGATTAATATGCACAGCCCTGAGAGCAGATAATGCTTTTATAAAGTTAGACATAAGTTGTCCCTGGGACATTCATTAAAGTAGGAATCCTCACTAGAAACATGCAATGTAATAGACAGCAGGATGGGCGCATTGTTGTTGGTATTGCAGCTTTTAAAGACATTACAATATGCTCAGCAAAATGTTAACTGAATGAGTGTCTTTGACAGGCACTATGGACTGTCAACAGGGAGGACTCCTCATGTGTTTCAATTTTTTTAAAAGCTTCTAATATTTAAAAGTCTACGTCCTTGTCAGAAGATCATGCAAACACAATAATAATACTTTAAGGTGGGAGCCTCGTGTGTTAAGATATTACAGTCACTCTGATGTCATCGCCCTGCGCAGGTTATTGCATTGCACCTTGTCCAATTCAATGGTAGTCAACGTATCACAAACTACGACACCACATAGGCAGTGGCTTTCTGACTACAGTCTTATTCATATTTTAGAATGTAGTCAAACAGACACAAATACATACAAAAAATAGGTAGATGTGACAAACTCCCACAATTTTCCCCCTTAGTTAAACCTACACTAAGGGCTGAAGTGAGTTTAACACCCAAAGATGAATGCCGCTCTTAAATGCTGTAACGAAAAATCTTAGATTTTCTTCCATTACTCCTGGTGCCTTCAGTGGTAAAATTTAAACAAATTGGAATATAATTTGTTTTTCACTATTAGGTTCCTTGAACTTAATTTACCTGTGGAAATGAAAGCAATTCAGGCATTGGAACAGGGTGCCCAGGGAAGTGGTGGAGTCACCATCCCTGGAGGTGTTCAAAAAACATGCAGATATGGCACTTCAAGACATTGTTTAGCAGACATGGTGGTTTTGCAGGCATGGTGGTGTTGGGTTGATGGTTGGACTTGATGATCTTAGAACTCTTTTCCAACCTTAATGATTCTATATGATCTAGACAACTCAGGTTCATTTTTTAGTTAGTTTAACTTTTTGGTTCTCAGTGACAGCTCAATACTGAAATTCTAAATAAGGGGGCCTAAAGACAGGTCTGAAGATTAATTAAAAAACACGATGACATGATCTAACCTAATCTATTATTCTAGAAGTTTTTTTAACATTTCCTGAATTTCTTAATGATGGCATTCTAAATCTGTAGTTCACAGGATACAGGAAGTTGGGATATATGCTGCACTAAAATCTGTTTTCTTCTGCATTGCCCAGGACCCATGGGCAATGGGAGCAAACTTGTCCACCTCTTCCTCATTGTAAAGGCAGTAAGCGGAAAAAAGAGGCAGAAAAGATTAGTGTGCCAAGGACTGAATGAATCCTAGTTCCAAGGTGAGTGATCTGAAAAAAAAGGCAACTAACATGCATCTTTGTAATTTAATCCTCTGGTTAATTCTCTCATTAACTGCTCTTTATCTGAAACTTACAGAGAGTCATCACTCCCATCTCTTAGTATACCGACAAACAAACTTTGGTAGAAAGTGTTGGTTAAAAATCCATTATTTTATTATGTTTGTATTCCATTTGCTCAACTTTTTGTCCCTCAAGAGTGTCTACTGGAATACACACTCTATGTATCTATCAGGGTGTCCTCAGGGACACTTTGCTGGACAAAAGCAGAGAACAGTTTTTACTTACTATCAGCAAAAAAAAAGTGCCCTTAGGCCAAAGCTGAAGAACTTCTACTACATGTCGGGACATGTAGTATTGAATGTTATTCAATGCACTCCATACTGTATGAACTGAGACATCCGGATACTGTCATAATAACATGGAAATCTCTAGGATGTAATAATTAATGGGCCCATGCAAATCATGTCAGTGCATAGTCTATGGATTTCAAATATTAAATAACACAATGTATTTCAAACTTACCATTAAATAAACCTATTAGAAACTCATCTGTTTCATCCTGTTTTGATGCTGCTGGCTCATCATCATCATCATCATCACTCCTTACTGTCTTCTTACTTTTCTCCTCCTTATAAAAGTTATTTAGGTGATTGTACGCATCCACCATTCGGATGGTGTCATTTATCTGGAGAGCATCATTGTACTTCTTCAGGTGTTCTGCACAGACGCGTTCCTTACGTTTTTCTTCTTTTGCAGCTACAAGTGAACAAAAAATACAAAAACATGCCTGTGTATAGAATGACCCAAAGAAATCCAAAGCTGGGATATTTTTTGCTATGCAGTTACCTCTTCTCTCTTCTCTAATCACCCACTGTTCATATGGCTGAGTTCCAAACTCAGATTTTGGATGGAGCTGGCAATAGTTTTGAATGTCTGTCATGATCTCAGTAATCCTCTCTCTAAATGGATCCTAGAAAGAGATTGATTACAAAAGGGAGTAAGCATCTTCTGGCAACAAAAACTGGCTAGTACCACACTGAGTAATTTTTAAAACAGTAAACCTTAAATTAAAAAAAAAACAAGTAAGGTTGCTAAGTGCATTTAGAGTTATGGAAATAAATAGCTCAGAATATTACAAAAATTACACTGTGAAATAACATTTTTTTTTAGTGAATATAATGTCACTCCAATACAAACATTTCAGCTATGGTTCAGAAGGTCTTTTGACCAGATACTTCAAAAATATAACTCATGTAAGTAAAAATTCAGTTCTACTTGACTTTACTGATACTTTTCTATACAGAGGAAAGGAGAAGATAGATACCCACATATTCAAATTAGCACGATGAATCCCAATATATCTACAGAAAAAAAGCATTAGCCAAAAGTTTTTGACACTATACAACACACTTTGAAAAGGTAATATAACTTCAACACTGATTTGTTTGAAAAAATATACCCTTCTTTTGTCGTCTGCAATCACAGTCTTCTTATACGGTTCCTTCACCTGATTCTTCAGTTGGGAGGTGTGCTCTTCAACAGTCATGATTCTACACGCATCAAGATTGGCACAGATCTGGGAGAAAACACAGCGTTATTTATTTTAACATTTAACGACTTACTCCACATGAAAACCGAATTAATGCAAAAGAGCTTCTCATTTAGATATTGAGTTTTAGATAACTCCATTTTCTTCCTACAAAAATTGGCTACAGACACTATTAGCATAGGAAAGGCTAAGTCTTTGGAAAGCATTTGAGATAAGCTGAACAAGTTACTTTTTAGGCCAGAAATGAACCTTGCACACAGGGAAAAAATTGTAGATCAGGGTGCAAAACAGGTATTTTGAAAAGGAAAATACACTACCAATATTTTGGAAGAGTAGATTTTGGAGCACAAAACAAATAAACAAAAACAATGGTGAAATAGAAAAAAGAAAATAAATGTTAGGAAGTAATTATAAAAGTAAGAGCTGGTCATGAGAGTAGAAAATAATTGGAAATCATCTTTCTTGGAACAGGAAAAGATAAGAGAAAATTTCTGTGCTAACGGCACAACTGAACCGGACTTCTCTGCTTTTGGTCTCTTCCAAGAACAAAATATGTACATTTCTGTCCCTAAGTCTAAAGTAGTAAGGGGAAACCTTAAAATTTTTATGAGCAGAGAAAACAGGAAAGGAAGTCTGGCAAGCAACCTTTTTAATCCCTTCAGCATTAGTTATCTATTTAAGCTTGCATATTCAGATTATATTTCTTTAGGTACAAAACCAGCATCCTATCATTAAGAGCTGATGAAAAGAAATTGTCTGCTTTTTCCATTGCCAGAAAGTTTTTGTCTCAAAATACTTTGCAATTCTATCTACTTCAGTACATCACAAAAGCTTCTTCCAGGCCTCACCTATTCAGTATCACATTCTGTTCTCATGCAATTTGCTAATCAGGAGTTTTCACTGGAGTACTGGACTAAATTTTGTATTACTGATATAAATCCATTGAATTTCAAGTACAATAGAGTTTCTTTAGGTATAGAGTTTAACCAATTATCTTCAGTCAGGTGTTTATGTAACTACACAATACTCCCCTCTCCATGAGTAAGTGTAACTGCTGTAAAGAAAAATATTTGTATGCTACCTGTATCTCACAAGTAGTTTTCTGCTTGTTTAAGTATTCGACTTTGTTTTTCATGTTCTTGGATCCACACAAAAGCCCAGCTTAGTCACTCTACAAATACAGATACAAAATACTGTGATCTGTCTAGGATTTAGGAATACACAGTAAATTCTAATCCATCAATGGAAAAATAAGATTTTCTTTAACTATAAAACCTCACTACTTTGTGGATTTCTTGCCTCTGAACTTGAGAATTTTTTTTCAAGTGAGGCAATCTTTTTACTTCCCTTTTCCATAACCCTACTTCTCTGTAAAGTAACCTTTGTTTGTACATGGATTTCCATTAATCTGTAGCGGTTCAATTTGCTGAATGGCCATTGAACTCACATGTACGCATAAAAAAATAAATCAGATTGTACATTTGGACCCTAACACTGACTTCAAAAGTTTTACTTGAACAAGACAATATCTGTTTGATGGTTTGCAAGTGTGAGGGCTATTTACTTTCAAAATATGTTCCTCAGCTTTTAAGTAGGATGTTGCACCTCCTACACCAGGTGAGGCTGTAAGTCCCAGAATCTGAGGCTGTGGGATCAGTGGTTTGTTTTCTTTTGCCAGCTTGCTGTTCTTCATCTTTTCTTTTAAGTAACGTCGCATTATGTTGTTGTAGACACCTTCCTTTTGAGTGTGATGACATTCATCGATAATGATGAGTGAAAAATCTGAAAAAAATAAAAGATCCCTAAAATGATTAATTTTCTTTCAAATATAGAATTTCTGTGACTAAATCTTCTTTCAGGTAAGGACACTGTTGAAGAGAAGCGTCAGTTTTAGGCCCTAACGTATTAGGAAATTTGTAGGGCTAGAGGAAGGGGTAGATGGAAGCTATATATATTTAATGGACTTTGGAATCTTTGTGTCAAATAGTTTTACATTTCATGTAATGTAAAAAGCTTTTCTATTTTTGCAAAACCAATTTGATGGTGTAAAGAATTTCAGAGAGATATTTTTAATAACCAGTGGTAAAAACATACCATAGTTTAACTCAATGGTATCTTTTATATCCGTAACTGTATCTGACAAACTGCATACTGTTTGCTTACAAGAAGATACATAACATGTTAGAAGCCTTTCAGATGTTCTAGAAAGGCCTGTCCTGATCAAAATATGCTTCCATTTTATAGCAACACAGAGATTTCCTCCCTATTCCTGTCCAATTAAAAGATTTATATTACTTTATGGATGTGTCATTGGAAACAACAAACAGATGGTGGGAGCACTACCAGTCATCTCTCTTTTGTAGCGGAGGAAACTGATGAAGATTCAGACTGGTATTATGTGCTTTTTAGTCAGATCATATTTACATGCAACAAGTACTGTACGATACAGAAAAATAAGATTACTTTTTGTTTGTTTTAAATTTCTCACAAACATACAAAACATCTCTTTAACCTATCTGCCTATGCAGCCAGTGACATATATTTCAAGGTTCTGATTCGAAAGACTCATAATAAACATTACTCTCTTTCTCTAACAGCAAGGTTTATGGAGCTCCCACTTTTCCCCTAGCTGACCAATACATTTCTAATTCAACATTGTTTCCTACAATTCGACAAATGTTTGTGGAAATGACTGTAAAGCAGATCACTGAAATGATCAGGGTTAACCTCTCTTCCCCCCCCCCCCCCATTTCCATGCTCTTGTTTATACATTAGTGTGCTCAAATTGTTGTGTTACTCCAAATGAGTTTGCAACAACTGGCAGCAGAAGTTGGAAACTAAGAGATCTAGAACATTCTTAGTTGGACCTTCTGCTGCCAAAAATGCATGTAACTTTGTCTTTGAAGAACCTAAAGAAAGGTGGAGACTGAACAAGGGAAATTTCATTTAAAGGCTAACCAAAGACCACCGCTAGGAAAGCAAACTAGTGCTCCATGTCACTGGGGAAAACTGATTGTCTTTACACAAGTGGTTCAGGAAGCCAGTTTGGACTAGAGTGATGTGGTTTCAAACCTAAATTTCTATTTATTTCTAAGACTTCTACATATTGCAAGACTTCAGAAGCAGTGCTGGAAGTTTCTCATTTATTTTGCCAACATGAAATTAGTCTCCTTGATTTTGACCATCATCTCTGTAATGCATATTCCTACCAACACTCACGAAAAACCTAACCCACCAGAAGAGATGTGCTTCTACTAAAGAAGTGATACACAGCTTTTAGAAAGTCCACACAGTGACTTCAGCCGTTGGTAAAGAGGGTAAACATTTGGTAAAATGCAATTAAGAGAGTCCCCTTCATTTCACTGAGGCTGGAATTCCATGTTACACGTAATGCAGACCTCGGTGGAAACAGATGAAAAAAGTATGAACAGAATTTAGGAATAAAAACCTAATAACTGATTAGGATGGTTTATATAGGCTGCAAGTTAACCAAGTCATAGCCATAAAAATGGAGCTGGGTCTGTTCAGGCTTGCTTGGCTTTGGTCCAGCTGAACTTACTAGCACAGGTGTAAGGAAACAAGGCCCTGTCTGCAGGGCCACCTCAATTCTGGAAAAAATACAGCTCCTTATGATGGAAACTTTGCAAGGTGTGAAACCCACTCAAAAAACCACTTCATTAAAAGCTGTTTGGGACTCAGCCCAACTCTAATCAGGTCAGCAGCTCCTGTAGAAATGTTCAGGTGCCTCTATATGGTATTCCCAAATGATTCAGATTTAGAAAGGTTTATTAACTTAGGTGCAGTAGAAAGGAAGTAAGTATAAGAAAATCTCTAGTACTCTGCCCAGGTTAATAAAAAGGCATTCTGAAGGAGGGAAGGCAATTCTGAGGCACCTAAGTACTTGTTTCATCTCAGATCCATTATTTTGAATATCACAGTTCTCCCCTCAGCTACAACCTGCCCCATCTAAAAAAAGAGTTGACTGCATGCGGGTAGGGGGAGAAGTTAACATCTCACAGAGAAGGGTCACTGCAGCCCAAATTCTGTGACTGAAGTCATGAGCTGTTCCATTATTTGTACATCACTGGGAGATAATACCATTTCCTTTCTGATCTCCCATAGATAGCTGCCACTTCAGTATTCTGGGTAAACAATTTTACCTCATCTCATCTTGTACCTTTTGTTTTCTTCGACTTCCTTATCTGTTGTAGGAGACCACTATATCTGCCAACCTCATATGGAACCGTATGTCTGTACGTTAGCAAAATAATGAGTTTAAAGAATACAACTTTTATAATAGATTGACTTTTATCTTGTGTTCCATTGTATTTCTCAAGCTACCAACTATATTTGACTTTTTATAGTTTTTTCTCATCCTGTTTATGGCTTCTTTGCGATATAACTCAATGCTCTACCAAGCTTGGAAAGTGGAACCAGTATGGCTGCATTTGCATGAACTCATGCTTGAGCTAGACAAAAAAGGAAGCATAACAAATATTTAGTACAAATGAACTGTAAGAGTCTAATTTGGCTTGAAAAAATTGCATGCTTATCAAGTAAGATCTGGTTTTGACTCTCAGCTTGCATTTATCAAGCCAGTCAACTGAAAAAACCATTAACTACTCTATGTGGCACATTTTTACTCGGCAATTTTCCAGAACAGAGACATGCTTTTAGCCCTTCTGTAAAAATTAAAGAATTAAAAACTTGCCTGATAAGTGGACACCTTCTTCATCTTCTTTGGCTGCATTTAACAGTGAATTCTCCAGGATCTGTGCTGTACTGATGATGACATCATTTCTTCTGACAACTTCAGGAAATGAGATTTTCAGCTGAGAATCACCACTTAAACCAGTGACCTGATACCAACGCTTCAGGAATGGATTAAACTCCTTTCGTAAATGCTGTTCTACCAATGGTACCTGAATAAAAGTTTCCAAAGAATTTAAAGCAGAGCATATATAGGATTATATATGCTGTTTGCAGCCTGTTTGCCAGAAATGTTGTTAGAAGAACATAACACTTTGTGCAAAATATACTTCTTTAAAAAAGCAAACATCTCTTTATTCACTGCAGGGTAGGATTTAAAAAAATAAACCACCAAACACAAAACGCAAAACCAAGCACTAAAAATCCCCAGACCAACCCCTCCCCTCCCAACTGCTCCTACGAAATCTTTTTGTCCCAAGAACTTTGGCTTAACTGTGCCTTAGAAAGAACAAACCATGCATGCTCTGGCTCTTTAACTGAGCTTATAACATGCTATCAATTTTATTCTTATAGCACAATATGCATATCTTTCATCCTTTTAATAAAATCCTTAAATTTATTTCTCTTTTAATATTATAACAGATTACTTAATATTATGTGTGCTAAATCTAACCATAAAAATTACAGCAATTATCAGTATATCTGACAGAATATTCCCTAACTACTGTGAGATTCATTAGGTTGCCTTCATTATCAAATCCAAACACAGAATGTGAAAAATATTTTTATTTTTCAAAGTATGATTTTAGTTTTATTCATTCTATCATGAAATCGCACTTTTTCCAATAATGTCGTTATTAGAGCACGTCTAAATTTGCACTTGCACTGGAGTAAACTAAAATAATTCACGCTTGCACCATGATGATGGTGCAATGGAGGTGACAGTCTAGAGCTGTATGCCTTTAAACATAGCTACATCTGAAGAAGCTGAGAAATGTGTTTATATTAATTTTACAAGTTCTATATTAACAGTGCATGAGGTTTGAAAAATACTATTTTTTAAAAAATGGACCAACATACCTTATTAACAAGCACTATAACTTTTCCAGGCTCTGATGCTCTTTTCTTCTTATCCAAGTGATCTTTGGTAATGTAAACAGCCACTCTGGTTTTACCACTGCCTGTAGGGAGACATATTATAATATTCTCCCCATTCAGTGCTGGCTTTGCAACTTCCATCTGGTAATCTCTCAGGATCAGATCTGGCTCAGGTGAAGCTCTGCTCTCCACTTCATCTCCATCTAAGGGTACAAAGAAATAGAAGTATCAAACAGGAGACATAGAACATTTATCAGAATACTGGACAAATGTCAAAGGGAAAAATATTAATCTACTATCAGAATCATCTTCTGAATAAATAGAAACAGGGCATGTTAGCATAGGCAATGCTGCTCTATGGACTCTGCAACGCTGGATCAGAACTGCTTACATCCAGTTACCAGCCAGGGTATGTGGAATACGCCACAGTATGTCTTCACCCATCTATGTTGACATGACTATTGTTATGTATGAATTCAAATGTTACAGTTCAGTAGCACTGGGACCAACAAAGATTGTGTTCAGAGAAGCAGTATTTATAATCTAGCCAATCTTATGTGAAGTTGTCTTTCATCAATACTGAAATTTATTTGGTTGTAAGTGAGCTACCTTTTTAAATACTTCCCAGAGGATGAAAAAAGGATGGAGCCATAGAAAGAAAAAGAGATAGGGACCACTTAAAAAAAATGATGAAGGGAGTTATAAAGTATGAAGATCAAATAGGTAAGAAAATTCAATTGCCCATACAAGCTAGAGCTAACTGCAGCATGTATCACACCTATTCATGGTAGACTGCGTTGCTTCCAGACTGACTCATACATAATACAATTGAGCTGTTCACTAAAAAGCCATATACATTTGCCACCTGAAGGCCAAAACCTTCCATCTATCATATAAAATGCAATGGCAGACAGTTCAGATCTATAGCTCACACCTGAAACAAACAAAGTTCGAAAGTTAGAAGTGGAAAAATGCTGTTGCATTATTTCAGGCAGTAAGAAAAGCACATCAATTCTCTTGAGTTTGCATATATTTAGGAAGTCAGAAATTATATATATTAATAACAGAAGGATTTATTTCAATGGACTTTTGGGCTTTTTTTTTTTTTTCCTACAGATATGTTTAAATCACCCTCCAAGCATTAACTGTCCTCAGTGAGGAAAAGACACAAATTCATTCTACCAGACTAAAAATGAGGGAAAAAAAACCCCTATAGTTTTATTTCCCAATGATATCATTAAATGAAGAATCATGAGGATTTTATTATCACTGATACATTACACACAAAATAAGTGTATTTTTCTAGTATCCCTGATTCCATTAAATAAAATTACACTAACAAAAAGTAATGAAGCTTGATAAAATACTGCTGATGGAAACATCCGAATGCCATTCTTAAGTGTTTTTTGCTTGTTTTGCCTTTTAGTGTGAGTGCAGTCCTGCCTGGAACACAAGGAAACTCACACCAGAGAGTACTTGATGTTATTTATCTGACTTCTACTACTCTCTTTTGAGGAAGAAAGTTGTTTGCTTTCTGGTTGGCTAATTTCAATAGTTCAATCACATTGAAACTAGCACTTTATCACCCATCTGTTTGGTTAAATATCAGTTCCTTAACATCCTCAGTTAACTGTCCAGGCCTAAAAAATATTTAACTTCACTCTCTCCTAACTCCCTCAGCCCCTGATTAGATAAAGGCTAATACAGGAATCTTTTCACAGGATGTGATTCCATTAAAGAATTTTCATTGTGCACAGTGTAACTTTAGGGAAGTTGTCTGCCTTTGTACAAGGCTCATATGCATTGCTGCCCTGCACTAAAAGAAACATGAGAATTATTCTTCCATTGTCCTAATTCCAACATTTTTCTTAAATATAAAATGATCCTTGCACAGAAAACTGTGACTAAATCCACATTTAATGCTAATTCTTTGCATTAAAATCCAAATCATGTCAGTGCATTGAGATGCTATCCAAATATCTGTTAATACAACAGCCTTACTGCAAAATTTCAAATCATAAAATCCATAAATATCACAAAGTTCATCTGTATCTCCTTAGATTTTATTCTTGTAGTTGCTCTCACTGAGTTTACTAGGCATGATTAAAAAGCATGAACGTGTTTTAAACTAGTTGTTTTTAAACCCCACACGTAAACAGAATATATAGCAAGTAAACATTGGAAAAACAAAACTCTGCATTCTTCACATAACTAGTGATTTATTTTCTTCTGCTGGACTACTGGACATAGCCAATGCCTAATTTACTTAATGGGAGATTTTTCAGGAATCTTAAAAGGATCAGGCCACACATACATACATGTGCTGCCACATACCAGTAGCCTATATCAGCCTGACTAACTGATACAGTGTGACTGTCTGCAGAACAGAGAATTTTCTGTGCCCAGACATTTCATGTGACACAGTGAGGAAAAAAATACAATGTGACTGATGAGTCACCTTAGTTGATGCAGAAGTGTAAAGTATATTCTTCAGAGTCAGCAATACATAGACTAAAATCCTAGCTATAGTGTAGCAATTTAGATCTGAGGTATACTGAATTTTCTGTGTATTTACAAAACATATGGATTTTAATATTTAAAAAGCTTGAAACTATTTTAAAAGTATTTACAGTAAACACTTTGTGGGCATGTGATATGTAACATTTACATTTACTTTACTAATCTAATACTAGCTTTATTAGGCAGAGCTGGCCTGAAAGGTACCCAGATTGTTTCTACCCCTTGCACAAGACACAGCCCCAGCACAAACTTTATAAAGGCTAGATTCCAAGAGGTAACTGGTTCCTCTTGAATTCTGTGTGGGCAAACACAGGCTGTTCACCATGGTGGACAGCTGCAAAATCATTCTGCCTGTGGTCTAAGATTAAAAAAAAAAGAACAAAAAAAAATTGGGATGTCTTTTACAACAGCAGTGTTTAACTGGGCTCAGAGTATATACATACCAAGTTCCTGTCTGTCTGCAAAGTATTATGTAAACACAGTCCAATATTTAGTTTAAAACTATATTTAGAACTTGCACATATGTTTAAATGTGAGATTTGCAAGGTCTTCAGATAGTAACCTCCATGGATTAGGTTTCTTTCACAAATAGGGCTAGTAAATTACTTAGGTCCAGAGTGGACCTTCATTACTGGTCTGCATGTACCCTGGAACTGCTTCTCCTCACCCTTAGATGCCTCTAAAGCATGTCCTATTCCCTCTCACCCTGTGCAAGGGCTGGGCACAATCTAGCTCCTCTCAGAGCAAAAGAATGTGGCAGCATTAGGAATACTTGTATCGGCAGCCGCACTGGATTACATCTGGAGTCCCTTCGAGCCTATGTGATTCTATCCTATAGATACGAAAGAAATTTTTTACTGTGAGAGTTGTGAGGCACCAGAACAGGTTGCTCAGAGCAGCTGTGGCTGCCCCCTCCCTGGAAGTGTTCAAGGCCGGGTTGGATGGGGCTTTGAGCAACCTGCTCTAGTGGAAGGTGTCCCTGCCCTCGGCAGGGGGGTTGGAACTGATGATCTACAAGGTCCCTTCCAACCCAAACCATTCTATGATTCTATCATTCTATCATTCTGCATCACTGATCATTTTGTATAATGTCGATGTCTAGAGACCTATTCAGGCTATCTCAGTAAATCAGCTCTTTTGGGGCTGGGACTTAAGTCCATACCCATAAAAATGGTATCTGTTTTCCAACAAAATAAGAGGAAGTCTGGCATCTAAATACGGTAAACTAGAGTTCACAGTGAAAGCCTCCCATTGATTTTTGTTCTAGCCCATTCACAGAGTGCTTACCCTCTAGAGCTTATTTTGCAATTACTAAATAACAGAAGGGAAACGTACCTGAATCACTGGTTGTGCAGCTCTGTCCCAGGTTTTCATTCAAGTTACTGACACTTCCATCTCCTATGGAGACATCTGACTCTAAATGAAAAACATAAACAAATGTAGTATAGTATATTTGCTGTACAAATATAAATAGCAAAAGCATATTTGCTCTCTCCCTAAGTTGTTAAAATAGGCTAGATAAATGTCTGGCAGGGATGGCTGAGGTATAATTTCCTCTAGTAAACATTTTCTTACATAAAGAAAAAAAATGTGAACAATATAATTCTTTTTCTCATGGAAGAAAATATGGAGCAGAAGATGACAATCCAAAACTTAGCAGAAGTAAGGCAACGTGGGTCATGATTTATTGTTGTCAGGCATCTATGTTCTGTTTGCTTGAAAGCAAGGGTCCAGACATGACTGCCTGCATGATCCCCTTTAGTCCTATTTTACTGTATCTTATCAGAGAGGTGAAGAGTCAAAAAAATCAAAAGAAAAACATGTTTGTCTACTGCATACACAGCGCTGCTGGCAAACTGAAGACATTGTCTTTTACTGCCTGTAAGCCATGTGAGTTATATCTGTAGCAGAAGAAAATCAAAACCAGAAATGTGATTTTTTTTTTAAAGGGTTTCTTCATGTAACATGAAAAGAGTAAACCATAGTTTCCAGGTAAATAAAAGCAGAGAGGAATTATTAGATCTTCCAAACTGTTTGCAAGTAAAAGCAGAGACCCACAATCCCATTACACCCGATAGAAGACCTGCACACTGCCACGGAAATCTGGGAAGTTTACCGTAGATATTCTAATGTTAAGATCTCCCTCTGCTGGGCAATTGATGTATTACACCGACCTTTTTTCTCAAGTGTAATTTATATAGCTAGATTTTCCAAAACTGAGTCCTTTTAATGTCTAAAGAGACACACAGTTCTTCCAGAAAAATCTGCTGCAAACAGCCTCACCCTGCACTGTCAGCTTATCTGAAGCACTCTGCAACTGAGCTCACAGTGTGCATAAGAAATCTCTCAGAATAATAGCATTGACCTGTTTTGCTTTATTAGCTAGTGAACTTGTGTCCTATCAAGCTTGCTTAATTACCTCGTGAACTTGTGTCCTATCAAGTTTTTCACAGTTTTTTCCAATGAATATCCCATTATGGTCCATATCCATATTGTCCTCAACTTATTGTCTCCAACAAACAATTAATAAAGCAAAATAAATGCTGTGAATGAGAGTTTAGAACCCAAGGGAAGTTACAGTGTCTTAGAATGGTACTCCTGAAATGTACACTGCAAAATCTGGGTAAGTGAGGTGGAAATTAAACCCAGTCTGTGTTCAGTAAAAATACGAAGCTTTGACTTTCCTTTACACAAGTTTTGCTCTCCTTAAAAGGTGAATGAATAGCAGAAAAAAACCTGCTATTTCACAGTACAAGTATAATACAGACAACTGAAATGAAGCTACCTCAGCTACCACTAGAAGTCAGGTATTAGTTTAAGTCTTTATTTTTAGTTTTTCTAACATAACCATGAAAAGTGATGCAAATGTCTGTCTTGCTGTCCTACGGTTTTCCTAATTTACTCCATAGAGATCTCAGAATCTGATCCAACTATCAATCACCATCACCTGTAGGAAGTGTTAAGATGGACAAAGGCATTAAAGACTTTAAGCACCCAAATTAAAAGCCTGGTCTCCTAGAAATCAATGCAAACAACAGAAAGGCACTTTAAAATATATTCACAGCAGAAGACTGGTGTATATAAAATTTCCCTATTACTATATAACAGCATGCATTTAATATCACATTAACAGACAGCATTGTCCTGAAAAAAGAAGAAAATCTCACCAGTTATAACTTATGTTCAAAGACCTGTGACAAACTATTCAGTAGCATTAGTGGGAATTCCAACTATGAAGAAAACACTGCTATCTCTCGTTTTCACTTTCTAGGAATCCATGTGGATAGGAGAGAGAGGACAAAATTAAAATTCTATGTATCTAGTCCATGTGGTCTCCCATCTAAAATGACCTACTGAAAGATGTATATGCAGCAGAGAATATGCATTCACAAAGTGTTTTATACATAATTATCTGAATTACAATGTGCAGCATGCATTACAAAATAATCTCTCAACAGAAAACGTTAGTGGTGAAGTGAAATGCAAAATACTCATCTTCCAAATGAAAGGTGAATAGATTAACGTCCTCCTTTTTCAACTGTGGTAACTTTCTTGGATTATAAAAAAACCCCAGTAAGTCTTTTCAAAACAATGATGATAAAGGAGTTGGTATTCTAACAGCTGTTTTCACCACTTTCACTTGTCTTCCCTTACAGTGCTACTTGCACACTGTAACACAGCATATTCCGCAGAAAGATTTTCAGTCACTTTGCACTAAGAAGTAAGAAAGTAAGTATAAAGACAATGGAATGCAACAAAAAAAAAAATGGATCTATGCAATATTAATTAAAGAAGTCTTTCCTGTCCTGTGCTACATTATGTCACAGAACAAGTTTCAAACATCAGAAAATAAAAATGAAGGACCAAAATATAAACAGGCTATTAGAATTGGCCCTTTCAAGTTAATGAGCAGTTTATCTAATGTGAAGCATTAAGGGACATTTTATGAGACATTATTGAAACCTCCAGTTAATTACAGTGTACTTATTTGTTCAAATCAACTTTTTTTTATGAAACAGGCCTTGAAAAACAGAGCTGCTATTTATTTCAATTGTTATTCATACAGGTAACTGTAGCCTTAATCCAAGTGTTTTATGTCTGACCATGCAAACTTACTGCTTTTGTGTTGCTTTTTGTGTGTGCAGTTTCTTCTCTGTGTTTTCACATACACGTTTCTCTCTAGTTCTCTTAGGCTAAATGATCTATTTCTACTTTGTCTTTATGACCCAACTGCCCTCATATCTTCTGACTCCCTCTGTCTCAGCTACTCCAATAAAAGGGTCAGGGAAGGCTTCAGACACAATGCAAATTGCAGTAATTTCAAGTGACTTGAAAAAGCTTCTTTCTCGTTGAAATCTGTCCTTCTCAATACATGAAGGAATGGTGGGAGGGTACTGCAAAACTGACAACACTTGACAGCATCAAATTGCAAATCAGGTGGGTTCCCAACCTACTTGGAAGTAGAGTCTGGGCTCCAGTTGTATTTTCAGCTGCCTAGTCTAAAAATGCAGTCTTATGAGATCATGAGAAAGGATGGAAATGGAAAAAGACTTGAGTGCAGTTAAGTCTGTGTGTATAAGTGCATAGAGATCAAAGCTTACTGCACTTCAAGATGGCTGAATGTGAGCCAGTTACTCTACTGCCATCTTTATGAATACTATCTCCTGGCAGCCCTTGCTAGGTTGCATCTACACTGCTGGTTTAGTTCAACTCAGAAGTGCACATTTACAGTGCATCTGTCAGTTGTCCCCACTTACACTACTTTGGTTCATGTCACAGAGCTGGTTTAGATCACAAGAAATGAACCCCTGTCAGCTGAAACCAAATGAGATGTGTTCCACCACTTGCAGGCATACACTCCACACCAGACTGAAGTCAATCTGAACCAATCTGCTAGAATCCATGTAGTACGTACACCCTTAGCACCATTTTTTCATGGAACAGATCCACTCAGCTGCACAAACTGCTAATACCCACTGTCAATTAATTTCAGTACAGTTCAGTGTTGAGGAGACCATAGTTCTCAGGCTAGAATTAGCTTGTGCAGGCTACTTAACAGCTGATAGATCTAGTTACCTGTAACCCTCAATCTGACAAGAGTCAGGTAAAAGATCAGGCTAACAGCAATGAAAACCTGCCCTCAGTGAGCCTTAGCCTTGTCCTGAAAGAATCCTAAGAGTGTGGATAACTCAGTTTCATCCATTCTGAATCATCATTAAATATCTGGCACCTCTTCTTTATACTGCCAAATTATGTTCTAATCCAGGAAAACCAAGTTGGTATTTTTGCTGTAGTTAATAATTCACTATTTGCTACAAAACATTGTGATATGCTGTTAATATCATGCTAAATGAGAAATAGGCTACTACTGTTGCACAGTGAAAGGCTGCAGTTTTCAGAGCCAAATTTTTTTTTTTTATTTATTCATGTTTGATAAAAAAAGAGCAGCCTTAGCTGTCTTACTCCTTTGGCTGAGTAAGCCCACTAAAATAATTTCAGGCAGGATTTATCTCAGTTGTAACTATTGTCTGAGCTCCATCTGAACTTGTAACACATATGAATGATTCCTTAATCATACAGCATATGTTTGAAACCTTGGTTTCCAGCTATGTCTGGGAATTGTTGCTGGTAACTGCTGTTGCTCATCATCAGCTCCCAAGACACATTTTTAAAAGTGGATCCATATGAACAACAGGCCACAATAATTTCTAAAAATTTGTACTAAAAAGGTACTTCTGAGCATGTGATGTAAGTGACAAAGGTTGTTTGATGCTCTGTAAATATAAATCCTCAAAGTAAACAGAAAAATTACTTGTTGGACAGCACTAAAGGACTTAGCAAAACCAAATATGTTTTCCAGTATAGAATTACCAGCCTTCTAGAAAGAAGTACTTAGTACAGCTACAGTTATAGTGGTACAGAAATATTCCTCTTGATTTAAACTTTGTCAACACTGGGAGGAGTTGTTAATGTAAGCCAAATGTTTTCATTGGCTAGTACAAACCTATCCTGAATAGGTCTGAAATAAATTATTCATTTAAGTTGTTAAAAGGGCTACTTAGGAGGAAAGGAAGATCATCAGTGTTGCTCAATTATAACAGAATCGAGCAGCCCATTGTAGATAAAACATCATCACTACAATCAGGACACAGAAAATGTCTACACAAAGGCTGCACATAATGTGCTACAGATTTTTTGGCCCTGTCCTCCCAAGCCATTCTGCACTGTGGTAGCAAATTGGTTTCTGAACCAGCTTTTACAGAATCACAGAATGGTAGGGGTTGGAAGGGACCTCTGGGGATCATCTAGTCCAATCCCCCTGCCAAAGTAGGGTCACCTACAGCAGGTTGCACAGGACCTTGTCCAGGCAGGGTTTGAATATCTCCAGAGAAGGAGACTCCACAACCTCCCTGGGCAGCCTGTTCCAGTGCTCCGTCACCCTCAAAGTAAAGAAGTTTTTCCTCATGTTCAAATGGAACTTCCTCTGCTTCAGTTTCTGCCCATTGCCCCTTGTCCTGTCGCTGGGCACCACTGAAAAGAGTCTGGCCCCATCCTCTTGGCATCCATCCGTATGATATTTATAGGCATTTATAAGGTCCCCTCTCAGCTTTCTCTTCTTCAGGCTGAACAAGCCCAGCTCCCTCAGCCTCTCCTCATAGGACAGATGCTCCAGTCTCCTCATCCTCGTAGCCCTCCGCTGGACTCTCTCCAGTAGTTCCTCATCTTTCTTGAACTGGGGAGCCCAGAACTGGACGCAGGAATCCAGATGGGGCTTCACTAGGGCAGTGTAGAGGGGAAGGAGAACCTCCCTCGACCTGCTGGCCACACTCCTCTTAATGCACCCAGGATCCCATTGGCCTTCTTGGCAACTGGGCACACTGCTGGCTGAAGGTCAACTTGTCATCCCCCAGCACTCCCAGGTCCCTCCCTGCAGAGCTGCTTTCTAGCAGGTCCGCCCCAAGCCTGTACTGGTGCATGGGGTTACTCCTCCCCAGGTGCAGGACCCTGCACTTGCCCTTGCTGGACTACACCAGGATCCTCTCCACGCAACTCTCCAGTCTGTCCAGGTATCTCTGAATGGTAGCGCAGCCTTCTGGTGTATCAGCCACTCCTCCCAGTTCTGTAGCATCAGCAAACTTGCTGAGGGTACACTCTGTCCCTTGATCCAGGTCATTGATGAATAAGTTGAACAAGTATGACAACATATTCTCGTCCTAGAGCAACTCCTTGAACTGAACAAATTTGTAGATCTGACCCTTTAAATTGCTACTGCTGTTAATTCATAGGAAGAAATGGAATTTACTGCTTAAAAAAAAAAATCAAGATTTACTTTTTCTATTCATTCCCTTTACCTCGACAGTACCATATGTTTCTGAATTTTTGAGCAAGACGGGAGCTAATGCACCAAGAACGTTCTCTCAGTTACCTGCAGTTACTAAAGTTTAACTGGTACCAGCACAAAATACCAGTTAGTGGACACACCTGAAACTACAATAGATGTTTCCAATACACTGTTCTCACTGATGAAATGATCATTCACATTTTCTTGCTGTTTCAAATCTTCCACTACAGCATATCCTGGTTGGCTTGCAACTTCTGTTTCTTCTTTTGTACTGTTCTTCATTCCATTTTGTGTATTCTCTGTTCCTAGAAAATAAATAGAAATTCCACAGCACTATAAAACATGTAATTTCTTTTAGCGTGGACCACAGAAAACATAGAACTAACCTGCATTCATCATGCACGTAACAGCATAACATATGGTCTTGGTCTTGACTTACAGTTTGGAATTTTGATGTTCTAATAAATACTTATTATGAAAATTGTTTGTCATAAATCTCAAATATTTCCAGTCACTGTAAACATCTGAAAATTAAATTTGTGGACTAGACCACATTTCCTACCTTATCAGTTCCATTGGTCCTGTAAGCTTATGAATGGATGTACCCTACAGCAGGACTTCAAAACTTGCCCATAAAACAGAAAACCTGACACAGCTTTCACAAAATGTTTTCCCTCCTTCCACTTCTTTGTCTTATTTCAAATATGGAAATAATTTCTCTTTGACTTCTCTGTTCTTTTATTTTTATTACACTCATACAGAACTAGGCATGCTCCAAAGACAAAAAATGCTGTTAAATAAATTGTAAACATTTTTTGAAAAAACTGTGTAAGATTGCATTCCAGGGTTTTCCAGATTTAGAACTTAATTACTCTGCAATTAGAAATCAAATTTAAAGAAATTAATAGGTTTAATTTATTTCAGTACTTCTTTATTATAAAGTTCTCAATTTCTATGTGTAGGTGTCTGCTAATAACAACGTATTTTACCGTAACAAATCATTTGTGATCAACCTAGAGTAATAAAATGTAGCACCACTCTACTCCTTCCAAAATACCCAATCTTGGTGTTTCCCGTCTATGTCCTTATATCAATGGATGCTACAGCAATCATACACTTTACATATCTACACATGTACAGGACTGTGTAAATGCAAAATTTCTTATCCTCTGGTAACAGCAACACAATTTATGCTTTACATATGAATCTGAACAGTTTCTTTTAGGGTCTGCGTTGCCCAGGATTACTGAGAAACTGTGGAACAAATGCATCCACTCAGTATTGCATCAAACAACCGAATTAAACTTAAGTTTCACCTGATATGGTCTGTACCACACTGAAAATCCAGAAATGCAAAGTTTGAAAAGGATTTAAAAGAAAAATATGGAAAGAATTTTAATAATTTTCATATTTGCTAAATATTTAGTACTTTGTTTTCCTTACTGATAGCTAAGTAATGAAGATAAGAACTTAAGCCTGACAAAGTTGAAACACAAAATGAAAATTAGGACCCCAGTAGCTGCTGAGCTATTCCTAGCATCTGACTTTCACTTAGAACTATCTTCTGAGGCTCTGACTTGGTTGGTCTCATCCTGCAGACTGGCACACTCAACCGCCTTTTAACCGCACGCTCAAATATAGCAGCTGCTTATCTGTGTCTGGCAAAAGACAGGTTGATTCCTGTCCTCAGCTGGAAGAGACACCTTCATGCCTCTCTCATTCCAATCTTAATGCATTGTCTCATATGCAGCAACCGAAAGTACAGAGACATAGTTCTAGTGAGCTCCTTGACCGAGAAGGCTGAAGCTGCTAAATGGGAAATCTGCTAAAAAACTTCAGTCTCAAAGATCTTATAAAACATATGTGGAGCCCAGTAAAAAATGAGGGACAGAGTATTGGGTGGCTGCTTCCTTTTTCATATTTTAGAATCCAGGGGAGCACTGGGATAATTTTACAATATCATAATCATTGTACAGGAATAAAAAGTAGTAGCCAAAAACCTACAGCTTTTTAAATTTAATTTCTGTAAATAATCTCTTTACTAGTTTACTCTATTATTTATAGTTAGCTTATGAATGTCTTATCCCCAAGGAGACACACTGCAGTGTATTTTAAAAAGCTGCATATATTTCTAAACCATTTTGTAAAAGAAACACTAATCCTTGTGTTGAAGGAGAAATCCAGAAAAGGTTTGTTTTGTTTGTTCAAATTAATCTTCAGAATATTTTTAATGATTATAAAAACATTGCTTTGAAAACCAATAGCTTATAAAAGGTTTCAGTTTAATTACAATTATATACGTATTATTGTAATTCTGATATTGCTTAATGAGGATTTTTAGTGTTTAAGAATCCAGTGACTAAGCTATTAAATAACTTGATTTTGAAGTCCCCGGACAAGCAAAAGCATTAGTCTCAGTGTCACAGTGAAATCAATACGGTGAGAACCCTGCACTGTTTCCTAAATAACAGTACAAAAAAGAGAGACTAAAACCCCACACATTAGTACTAGTGAAATAAAATTATTACCTCCTGTATTTCCACTTAAATCATCTGCAAGGCCTCCATGTTGGGTTTCACGCAGAGCAATCAAAAAAGGAGAGAACCAATCTTTCTTCTGCACTATTCTGCTCAATAGCTCCCTTGCACCATCTCTGTTCCCACGATTGTCAGTCACAGCATGGATCTGGTGAAAATAAAACACCGAAAACAATCCTGAGACAGACTTTGGAAATGGTTCAGGAATGTTAGACTAGTACAGGTACAAAAGCATTTCCCTGGCATCATTAAAACATGCTTAAAAATAAAGATATTAAGTGCCCCTGCCACTCATTAGAAGAGACTTTACTGCAGTTTTGTCCAATCTCATGTTTATCCCATCTGGTTTCGGGTAGGATATATAAAACTTACGAGGCCTGAAATTTAATTGGAGAGACTGGCAGTACTGCACAACGGTTATAATAAGAACCACTATATAATAATAATTACTATCGTGGAATAATGATTGGTATTCACACTGGTTTAGGGAGTAGCCAACCTTGATTAAGGAGAATTGATGTCATACAGTTTACCAGAGTTCAGACTTAATCTGTAACATGACCTCACACATAAAACGGACCATTTCCCTGCTTAAACTCTGTCTTCATCACCTCCATTCCCACTTAAAGATACAATAGCTAAGCCTCTAGGAAGTGGCTGTTGCCCTCGGAGAAGCTCAAGGCTGTCATGAGCAGAGCTTGACATGTGATCACATGAGGAATAAAACGATGATCCCAAAAGTAAAACAGTCCAAGACGGGTGTTTAGTCCTCAAGGCCAATTTTCTTGAGGCTCAATAATCATCCATCCTGATATGCAAGAAATTGGGCAGGCATAAGCAGTGGAAATCCTTCACTGAGGCTGAACACTAAAAGGAAGTGCATGAGAAGTAGGAGTAGGGAGAAGTAAACAAAAAGGAATATAGAAATCCATTAAGAAAGCTGAGGCATTGTTGGAGTTGAAACCGGCAGGATTGTGAAGGGTGATGGAGGGCTTCATCAAAACACCGGCAGCAAAAAGATGACTCGAGGAAACATGTGAACCCATTGCCAGGGAATGGAGCTGGTACCCTCCTAAAACGCCCCTGCCTCTGCCTGCTGTGTTACCACGCTTGGCTCCCCACCCCTTAGGGTGCAGGTGGCCCTCACCACTACTTGGCACACAAGATAAAAATATGACTGTCATTTAACTGAGATGGAGCATTAGACTATCTAAAGCAAAAGCTCAGAGTGCACAGATGATGTGGTTCCACCCCAGGTTGACAGTTTTCCCCTTCTTGCTATGGCAAGTATTTTAATTTCTTTTTCTAACACTGCTTCAGGATACCCATTTATATGGGTTCCACATAAGTTTCACACTAGTCCAGATAAGTTATTCTTAGCCAAATGGAGTAAACACTGACAAAAGTTTTCATTAAAGCTTAACACTTGGTCTTTCTTGTCTAACTGGTACTTCTGCTCAGCTTCACTGTGTAGTATGATGCTCTTTAGAGAACCTATGTCAAAAAAGGGGAGGGAAGGTCTTGCTTTATTCCAGCTCAAATATTCTCTAGGATTTTACAGGCCGTCACTACTTTCTGGTATGGTTCATGGGCCAGAGGACACTTAATGGTCTTCTGAGCCTAAGGTCTGTGGCAAAATGGTAAGTAACAGTAGAGCCCGCCATATTCCTTCCACTTAGACACTCACTTGGTCTAACCCTCTGTTCATGGCATTTTTCTTTCCCTGGTTCTTAGCTGACATCTCACTTGCTGGCCCATTGCCAATGGTCTTCATTGGCTTACCTGGAGCACCTTTCCCTTTTCCCCCAAGTTTGGGTACTCTTCTTTCATTTTTGCACTTAGAAAGTCATTTCCAGCTGAGGCTTCCTACCTGCCCCAGGGGTGGCCAGTGGCTGTGGGCAGGCCGGGCACGCCACTTACCCGATCCAGGTCCTCGTCCTGGAAGATGCCCATCTGCAGGCACTTCTCGGCCACCTGCACGGTCTGCATTCTGTCCACCAGCGTGCTATGGAGCAGCTGCACCAAGTGCACGCAGAGGTCGTGGTCCGCCTCCTGAGCCGGCGAGGGCAGCTGGCTGAGGCTGGGGTTCACGTAGCAGGCGGCCAGGCTGCAGCCGCCGTGCTCCAGAGCCTGCAGGAA